TCTCTCGCTGTGTCTCTCTGTCAAATAAAGAAATAAAATTTAAAAAAATAAATAAAGAAAATAAAATAAAATCTATTCTGACTTCTAGGTAAGAGTGGATTCCCTTTTTATAAAAGCCTGATATGTAAACTTGGACAAGGGTAACTGGATTAGCATCCTTTCCTGTAGACTAGCAAAGTCTCTGTTAATAGGGGAAAATTCCAAAACCAGAAACCCAAGGAAACAGAGTGAAGCCCTGATACCAGTTTGGTGATAAGGATGCTGGATGAATTTTTCCTTGGGAGAAAATAAAAGAACAGAGATAAATGTCTATGAAATGAATTACTGGTATTAAATGAATCACTGGTTGTATCATTTTTAATCTAACATTTTAAAGTGTGTATAAAGTACATGTTGTGGCAAAATAAAATAGAATTTAGTGTTGACCTGTGTTTGTTCACAGCACTGTTCACTCAGGCAATCCCACAGAGAAATAAATACCCTTCAAAGTGTGGGAAAATGGAATATTCATGAGTCTAGAAATTTAAAATTTTCCAAAGTATTAAACTTAACCAGTTTTCTGACCAGAGATGAAAGCCTCCATTTATTAATAGTCATTTATCAACATTCTTTAAAACAAATTTAATAAAATACAGAAAAAATTACAGAACATGATTATATTTTAGAATCTGCAAGTTTACATTTTCAGAATTTTCATCAGCTACTCAGCTAATATTTATTTTCAGTGCACCCTTATTCATTTTGAAGCCTTAACGTTTTGTTTGATCTGAAGCATTCAAACTATGAAAAATGTGTATTCATTAATTTTGTATTAATTCATCTATTAAACATGAGTTCCTTAGTCTATAATCAGTCTTTTTTCATTCATTTTGACTGTGCCCTGAAAATTTTAGCATTTTAATGTCAATAGAATAAGCTGCTTGAGTATGGACAATGTTGTTTTTGTTACCCTGCAGCTTAGAAAAGACAAACCCCACTTACTCATATCATGGTAGACTGAGGTCGCCTCTTTTGTCAAGAACAAAGGTGGTTTCCGTGGTGACATAATCTCAATTTTCATAAGTTCTTCACAACAATGCTTCCATTGGCCTAAGAAAGACAGAAAAAGGCAGGCTAGTTTAAAACATAAATGTGAAGACATATACTTCATTTTCAATAGATATCAACATATTTTTTGCTGTGAAAAGTAAGAATGAATTTATAAAGCATTGCCTTAAGGAAGCCACAAAAACCTAGTACTACCTATAATTTTAAAGTCCAAGTCTAAGCATAAGAGTAATCTATTTGGAAAATAAAGTTCTGTGCACAGATATAAGAAGCTAAGATCTCTAGGCTATTAAATACTATACTATTTCACTAAATGGTCCAGTAAATGAAATTTCTATTCATGGCAAAAATTTGTACAAGTTCTCCTCTTTTAAATATTAAATAAAAATATCCAGTACTTAAGACAGTTGAAAGGTAAAAATCAACTGAAATAGAAGGAAACAGTGCTTCACAAAAATGTTGTTAACTTTGAAAATTCTAATTAAGAAATAATAATTGTTTATTTAACAATTATTTCTTCAAATGATTATGCTTTTCAAAATTCATATAACTAGAAAAATGCTGCATTTTCATTCAAGTAAAAGGTATATAAGAGCCTATTACACATCAGTCAAAATTCTGAGTCTAATTTATTTTAAGAAGGACACTTTAATTAAAGCCATTAGTCATTTGGAATTAAAAAAATACTCTTAAATAAGTTGTTTTGATTTTTAAGTTAAAATTTGAGAGTGTGGACAACATTAATTTTTCTTTTAATTATGTTTTACTATTTTCATCTTAAAATGCTTAGGCTTTTTTCTTCTGAATGGATATAAAAACTTTAACCTTTCCATGTTTATTGTGCGCCTGTGTGCTGGATAACAACTGTGCCAGAGACTATGTGCCTCTATATCCATGTTATAAAAGTAGGTTATTGCACCTGACTATTCTTATACTCTATCTTACATCTGTAGAAAAGTAAATTTAATACACATGTGCCTTTTTGGAATGATTTAAAATCTATATTTCTCTTCCTTTTATTATATTCTCAGTCTCCATAATCAATATCCAATTTAGTTATTTTCCATAGCTTAAAAATAAAAGACATTTCATGTTTGGTCAAGTTATCTATTCATTTTTGTTGTTTTAAATCTAATATACAGCCATGGTTATATGGTAATATGCATAAATTTTAAATCCATCACCTTAAATAGCTAAGAAACATAAAAAACCTTTTAGTATGTTTTATTACAATGCTAAGTATAGAATATGGTAAAAATTTCAAAATAGCCCACGTAGCATCTCATAAAGGGAATGAAATCTTGAGTTTGAGGCTTCAAAGGTTGCTCTGCAGAATTTAAATCTAGTAGGATCTGAGATCTGATAACTTATTCCTCCCCTCCACTTCCTTTTTTAGATAAATATATAAAAGCCAGCTTTTCCTTCTTGGGGGCAAAAAAAAAATAAGGTCTTATCTAATAGAAAAATAATGAAATACTTTGAACTGGCAAACATTTCTCCATCAAATCTTAGGCAAATTATGAAGTATAGTATTTTCTCTACATTGATAGATGAAAGCTTTGCATTGTTAAACTGGTAGCAGAATACTAATCATGTTGAAGACTGGAATATAAAGCCATATTATCCCATGCATTACTGAAGTCAGAGTCATGTGGTATGTTCACTGATCAATTTTACAATGGAAACATTTATTTTATCAGTGAATAAATTAGTATGCGCTGTTATACCTGATACCAACATGCTAATGTAAAAATAAAGGCCCCGTATGAAATATTAAATGGCTATGTTGTGTTCACATAAAATCTGTACACTGAAGATGTTTACCACAATAATATTTGCTATAACGTTCCCAGTCAAAATGATCTGTTATGCTAAGCTGCTTATGTAACTCAATATTTATATTATTAAATACTTGGAAAAAATGTATCTTTGAGCCACCATTCCTAGCTCTACCCCTTTTGATCAACCAAAACAAGTGTCATTCCTCTTTTACATGTTCGTTAGCTCTCAAATATTAAAAATTAGCTATGACATCCCCCTTTCTCCAACCTCCACCCTTCAGGTTGTTCTTCGCCAGGCTAAACAGACCTAGTACCATTAATGTTTTTTCTTGGTTTTTAATTTTCTCATTCTCCTGATTTTCTACTCTTAATCAGAGTCAAGTAATTGAAATTTGTTCTAAATATTAAATTACTCTGAGTTTATTCTGCCCTAAATATCTATCCTCTACTTTGTTCTACACATCAGATTTCACCTAAGATCGCAAGAGGCTACACTTACACTTACCACTTAAAAGTCAATCTTTAGGATAGTATAAACATTTCCATCTTTGCTTCATATCTTCATTCATGAATTCTAAAGTGCAAATCTAATAGAATTTATATTTTAAAGATTGGCAGATTTTATCCACAAATCATTAAATACTAAAGAATATGTAAGAACCTACTTGTCATCCCTTCCTTATTTTGGCAGTAATATCATGAGATTTGTATTCCTCCAACTCCCCCATTTTAGCATGATAAATTATTTTACCTAATCTGGCAAATAAAAACATAATACCGTCTAGTAGCAGTTGATATCCAGACCATAATATTCTGCATTTTTACCTCCTTTCACCCCTCGTTCCTGTTTTTATACACATAAAAAGTGTAAAATAGCAGAATCACTTCTAAAAATAATATAGTCTTTGTAAGACAGACTCTCTAGAGCAGAGCATTTAGGAAAGCAGTTAAAATTTCAGATGTGATCAGCAAACGAAAGGAAGTTGTTATCTTTTAAGTTACACATCTAAGATCAGCTGAAATTAAAAAAAAAAAATGTAGTGCATGCTGATAAGCATAGAACAAATATTTAAACATCTATTCAGTGCCTAGGGGTAGTGCTTAAGGGAAACAAGTCCTAAAGAATTCCAGAAGGCTATGGAGGGAGTCCTCTGGTTTCCCGCAGTAAACCAGCAATCTCCTCAGGCCTCAATTTTCTCAACTTTAGAGCAGAGGGAAATCATTTCTGCCTTGCTGGGCTGTTGTGATAAAAAAAATGAAGCCATGTGGTATGTGGAAGGTAATCAATAAATTTAGTTCCCTTCTTTGCCCCCACCCCAAACATCACTATAATACTTGACCAGGCCATGGATCACAGTAGGCTTATAAAAATTAATCTTAGGACAGCAGGTATTAACTCTTTTATTAAGTTCCCCAAAACAGATCTTAAGAAGTCCTAAAATTTCTGTAGGATTATTTCTAGGAGTTGCAGAAACAACTTTGTATCGTTTGGAAATGGCTCTCTTTTGTAATTCTGTAAGAAAAGCATTCTAAAGACATAAAATACCAGTTGAATCTAATGGTAGGCTTAGTTTGACTAGAAATAGCCATTATCAATAGTCTACATTTTCAATATATGACTTCAATATTTTCTTGTTGATAAAATTCCTCCTTAAATTGAGATATTAGGACCTCACATATTTTACATAGTAGAACTCTATTATTATATTACTATCACATTGTTTTTATAATCATGGGCTGTATTATTGAAACTGAAAAACCATATGTATGGTTTAAAAGAAATCTTTGGATGATGTCCAAGATGATATAACAAATCTGGAATTAACAGAAGGTTACATGAATCTCTTGAGCATTTCAAATTTTAGGATCATCACTAACCTAGACAAGTTTTTTACTACTCAAATAGCTTCTTATCCCTTTGATCAAACACACTGCCTTAACTAGTTAAAACCCAATATTTTGAAAAAATGTGGTCTAATTATTTTAGGGACCAGAGAAACTTAAAAATAATAAGTAGGGATACGAGGAATTCAAAGGTATAATAAACTATAGTAAATCAGGCACTGGGGAAAGGTTGAGAGAAAAAGGCATCAATGCATTGATGATATATACTATCATTTTACTCAAGAGCATAAAAAAATCTTGATACAAACCATAAGATTATAATTTTAATATTTAGATTGCTTTGTGCATCCTTTCATGCTTCATGAATACATTACTAGCAAATCCAAACATCAACTTACTAAGATCAAAGAAATGTTGCCAGAAGGCTTCCATCCATTTCTGAAGATCTTCTCTATTGTCCACTGCAAAAATATGAGTTACAGCCTGTCCGGCAACAGGGTTGATGACAGAGAAATTATGAATTTTTTTCTTGGCATCCTTATCCATTGCCCGAATTCTGGTTTCCTAAAAATTAAGACAAAATTGGTGTTTTACAGGAGAGTATTTTTGTATGATCAAATAAATGTTTTACTGCTTAGCTACCATACTTACACCAGATGCAATTATAAATCTTATTGCTGATCATTTAAAATATGTAATTTTGAGAACTTTCAATATTCAGACTCAAATCGATAAAAAATGCTTTGTATGAAAAATACTGAGTAATGTTTCAAAGTATGCTACGTAGCGAACTTACTTTAAATTACATGAGATTAAAACATAACCTGTTTTGATCTGTTTAAGTAGGAGTTTGCTGTCTTTTATATACATCTTAAAATTTGCAATAAAACAAGTACAGCGTGTCATAACTGTAATGTGAATTATGTTAACTACATTTCCAACAGTAATAAAATAAAAGAATCTGTAAAGTATGTTTGTTATTCTAATATTCAGGCATTAGATACAGTGTTATCACTTAAAGCAGTAAAACCATAACTTAGTGTTTACTGCAGCAAAGCAGTTAGGTTTTCTCCATTAACATTTATTTCATATGTACCATTCATTTACAAAGCTCATAGCTAAAGATCCATGAAGTACTATAACCTTCGTGATAGTAACAATTATTTTTTTAAACGCTGAATGCACCGATCTACAACAAAGGCAATTGTTTCATTCATGTTGGTAGTTTAAACTTTTTCTGCATGGTACTAGGTATGACAGTGTGGTGCTTATTGTATCTACATGTAGAAAAGTCTTTTTTTTTTTTTTTTAAA